CCTTGCCGCGCGCCTTGCCCTTACCTTTGGCAGGCGCAGAAGAGGCAGCACCACTATCACTAGCCATTGAGAAACAAAAAGAATCGGGGACAGAAGATTCAAAAAGAAGGAGAAAAAATCCCAGAAGAGGAAGAAGATTGAGAAATCGAAGTACCTGGTACTCCTTTGATAAACGAAAAGACAGAAACGAGAAGAGGAAAACTCGGTGGCCGGAGAGAGTGACGGAGGAAGACGGAGGAAGACGGAGATGGCAGAAGCAAGAAGACAAAGAAAATCAGCGTGCTCAAGAAGCCAGAGAGGAAAGAGAATGCAAAAGGTAAAGTGAAAGGAGAAGAGGCGCGAAGGAAAGAAAAGGTTTTCCCCAAAATTTAAACGGCCACAACACGTGTCAGCCAGGGGACAGAACTGGCGACACATTTAATGAGCCCATTACGACAAACACAGCCATCATTACATAACCGTCAGTTTCCATTAACGCGCCACCTACACGTTTCCAAGAACGAGGCGACGGTTACGACACATGGCATATTGACAGATAGGCGTACGTGAAGGGTCACGGCCACTTGATGAACTCGGTCTTAACTCCTCGACCTACGGTCTTCGGAGCTCGGGGGGCTCGTGTACTATCCGTACTGCGAAGCCGAGCTCCAAGCTCGGCCTCACAGCGCAAGACGACCTCGGACACGCGCTGTGTGACGTCAGCTCGTCACTCAAATAGGTCATAACAGATCTCGGGCCCAAGGCCCAGAAGAACCCTAATTCACACCAAGGTACGTGCATTACTCATACGAGACATATACTCACGCAAATCCTAACTTTAGCATCAGAGTCTCTTTTGCAGGTACCACCCCCTTCTTGGAGCACGAGACATACCCGTGAAGGAGGCTCACCAATCTTACCCAGCAGATCGTCCCTACCACCAATCTCCGGTAAGAACAGTATTAATCAAAATTTATTAAAAATTATAAATTTTTGTGTATAAATTACAAGGACTAAAATAAAATAAAAAGGGCCAAATTAATTTTTTAAAAGGACCATTTTTCTTAAAAGAAATTATAAAGACAAAAAAAGGGTATATTATTGGAACCAAAATGTATTTAAACTTATAAGATAATAAAATTATTTGTTATTATCTTTGCTTGACTCTATGTAACTGAAAATTTTGGAGAAGTTTTATTTGTTATTAATGCAACATTCAATGATATTATTAATAATATTTAATTTATTGTTTGTATTATTTTTTTATTATTATTTGTATTAGTCAATCAATTCTTATATATTATTATTTTGTGATATATTGGAGGGACATGGTACAAGGATAAAACTGAGAACTCCTCAATCTATACCAATGATTGATAAGGTCTAAAAAGAATGAAGAAGTATTACTAAAGGTATGGTGATCATTAATGGGTCAATCCTATGAGCCTAGGTTTAGTAAGGTTAGTATATAAATAATAACATATAAAGAGACTGACTTGACTGTTGGAGTGTTTTTTCAGGTATCCTCCTTTCTTCTTCTTGGACAAGTATGATTGAGGACTACTCATACCATTATCAAGGGAAAATATAGTGTATTTTAACTCTTTGGGTAAGTGCAACCTAACATGAGAAGAAAGCTATGAAAGAAGACTAGGAGGATGAAGGACAAGGACTCAAAGCAATGGAATTACCTATATATCCTTGTGTAGGTACACGTGAAAGTATTTTAAAGGGTTATTTTCTAGAAAATATTTATAGGAATTTTTTTAACTTCTTATCTAATTCAATTTTTTTTTATTTTATCCAATTCTTTTAATGCAAAAATTATCTTTTGCAAAAGAATTTTTAGGACTTAGTTTTTGACCGAAGCATTTTAAAATATTCTTTTAACTTTGTCTTATACAATTTTTATTTATAATATTTATTTGTGAATTACATTTTAATATTTATATAAAAATTATCAATAATAAAAAATAGCATGGTGTTATAGTTTAAAGGCTAAATTGTACATTTAGTCTCTTTATTTTTATTAATTTATAATTTTGGTCCCTTTATTTTAAAATAAAGAAATTTAGTCTTCTAATTTTAAAAATTATGAAATTTTGATCCTCTAGTCAAATAAGATCTACTTTTTATTAAGTTTTAACATTTACTCATTACTTAAATAATTTGACATTTAGTAACATGACATTTAGAAATAAAAAAATTTAAAAACATACAAATAATATTTTTATTAATAAAATAAATATCAATCACTCATAAAAAAATAGATACAAATAAAGAATTTTTTGTATGTTATGTTTTAATTTTTATTCTTATATATCATGTTATTAAATATCGCATCAGTTAAGTAGTGACAGATCATCAGATAATGTTAAATTTTAATAATCAATAAATATTAAATTGACAATAGAACCAAAATTTTTTATTTTTAAAAATAGGAGAATTAAATGTTTTATTTTAAAATAAAGGAACTAAAATTACATATCAACAAATATAGAGAGACTAGAAAGGCAATTTAGCCTAATTTAAATTTATTATTATAAATATAAAATATAATTATATTTTAAAAATATATTTATAAGAAATTAAATATAATTTATATATTCAAATATGATGTTTATTTATCTATATAAATTCTTTTTATATTATAAATATTTAGCTTGTGAAATGTAGAAACTAAAATTCTAGCTTATACTTAAATTTGGTAAAAAAAATTCACATAAATTATTAATTTTAAATTTTTATATCTTGGCTGGTCCAATTTTCGTCAAGTCTATTTAAAATAATAAAAAAAATATTTTCTTTAATAATTATGCATTATTCTAAAAAAAATTATTTTATATTTGTTTATGCTAAAATGATTATATATTTTTATTTTTAAATACTTTTTCTAACTATAATATTGTTTAGATCATTTTTCTGAAATTTATTTGAGTTAAATTGTCCTTGGTAAATTTTTTTGCAATCACGAGGAACACTTTCTCACTTTTTTAGAAAATTTTATCATTTTTATTATGTTTATACATAATTCAAGGATGAAGCAGTCGTTTTACCATTTCTCGCACTATGGTCTGATTGACAAACTAAATTTACAAACAAAATAAGCCATAATTCTAATCGAACTATGGTGATGATAATTTTGAGATTCTCATTTGATTGTTCCATAGTTTATTTAGTGAAACAGTATTTAAAATAACCAAATAACCAATTGAATCATCCAAATTTTACTAAAGTATATTTCATATATATTTAAATTATAATAAACCGGTTCAATAAATATTTTTAGATTCTAATTAATTTTAATAACCGATATATTAATTGTACTATCCGTACTGCGTAACCGAGCTCCGAGCTCGGCACCATAACGCAAGCCGACCTCGGACACGCACCGCGTGACATCAGCTCGGTACTTAAGCGAATCATAACTGATCCCCGAGGATCTCGCACTGGACGAGGTCCGTTATCTAATCATATTACACCTCATCTCAGGCCCAAGGCCCAAAGCAACCCTAATTCACACCTAGGTACGTACATTACTTATACGAGACTAATACTCACACAAACACTAACTTTAGCATCGGAGTCTCTTTTGCAGGTACCACCCCCATCTTGGAGCATCAAGCGTACCAGCGAAGGAGGCTCACGAATCTTACTCGGAGGATCATCTCTATGACAGATTTCCGGTAAGAACATTTGGCGCCCACTGTGGGGCCGATCAAGATAGCTCGTACCGGCCACCTGGCTGGTTTTCACCAGAAGCCATAGTAGACGCACAACAGACGAGGCAAACCACGCAACCACCATGGATAACGAAGCATCATTGAGGAGACTAATCGATCAGGTCGAACAGATGCGGCAACAGCACGATGCTGACCTGCGCAATATGCGTGTTCAGCATGAAACCGACCTAGCGACGATGAGAACCGCCAATGAAGCAGACCTAGCGGCATTACGCGCCGAGAACGAGCGCATTTGCGCCCAACTCCCTCGACGCCCCTCTGATCACTCTCCTGACGAGAGCAACATCCATGAAGACAAGGCACACTCGGCCTCTCAATCCCGGACCGCGACTAGGGCACCGACTTCACGACCCGTCACGCACTGATCTCATGTATCGACGCACAAGTCGGGCCCAGACGCTAGCAGAGCACCCACTCATGCCACAGAAGGCTACGAAACCTTCCGCCGACATCTTTTTGTGGACGGCATCATGGAGACCCCACTCCCTCATGGATGGAAACCTCTCCACCTCGACTGCTATGACGGCACGACGGACCCCGATAAGCACATTGACCTGTACACAACCCAGGTAAACCTCTACACTAATAGTGACACCATTCTGTGTAGGGTTTTTCCGACCTCGCTCAAAGGAGCCGCACTCCACTGGTACACCCAGCTACCCGCCGGGTCCATCGACAGTTACAGCCCCCTGGTCCGGCGATTCATGGCGCAATACGCCACAAGCCGACCTCATCACACAACCTCGACCGCTTTGGCCAACCTCAGGCAGAATTACGATGGACCTCTACGAACCTTCATGGAACGCTTCTCCAGCATCTCGGTGCGGATTCGGAACTTGAACCCTGCCCCCCCCCCCCCCCACCCCCCCCCCCACCCCCCCGTGATATGGACGAGCTCCGCGCTCACGCGGCCGGGTACATCCAGATGGAGGAACACTCCGCTTTCCGTGACCAGGTTCGCGGAAAAGGTCCAGCAAAGTCAGAACAAGGGCATAAGGACAAAATAAAAGTCAACAACGACATCCAGTTCAAGAAGTCAACTAGGGAAAACAAAGGAGGGAGATACGACTTCTACACTCCCCTAAACGCACCTAGAGTCCACATCCTGGAGGAAGCCAGCAACAGCACCCTCCCCCCCCTTCCACCACCAGGCCACACTCCCTACAGCGCCGACAAGTCCAAGCACTGCCGGTACCACAGGAACCATGGTCACACCACGAAGGAGTGTCGCACACTCAGGGATCGTATCGAAGAACTCATTCAGGTAGGCCACCTCGGCCAGTATGTCTAGCGACAGTAGGGTAACCGAGGCGGCTACGACGGTCGGGGACGAGGTAGAGGCCGTGGTTCAGGAGCTCGCACTGACCCACACCCGGGTCCCCAACAAAATACTAGCGGCGCAGTGCAAGCTGAGATAAGCCAAGAGACAGAGTCGGCTCCCTTACGGGGAGTAATCAACACGATTGCGGGTGGCTTTGTGGGGGGAGGCGCCAGCAGCTCGGCTCGAAGAAGACACCTGCGAAGCATCAACTGCGTCCACTCTACCACCTCGGCCCCGCATCAAAGCTCACCGCCGATCTCTTTTTCTGACGAGGACTACGCTGGCGTCAGCCCTAACCAAGATGACCCCATGGTCATCGTCGTAGAAATAGCCAACTGGGAGGTGCAGAAAGCACTCATCGACCAAGGGAGCTCGGCCGACGTCCTGTACTGGCCGACGTTCCTAAAACTAGACGTCCCCCACTCTCTCATACAACCTCACACTGAGCCCCTAGTCGGCTTCGCAGGAGAGCGAGTTCACACTCGAGGGTACGTAGACTTACTGACAACTTTCGGAACACCACCGGATACAAGGCGGGTCATGGTCCGATACCTCCTCGTGGAAGCCAACACTTCCTACAACATCATCATCGGAAGGCCCACCTTAAACCAACTCGGAGCGGTAGTGTCAACCCCACACCTCACCATGAAGTTCCCGGGCAAGGACGGTAAAATCATCTCCGTCAAGGCTAATCAGAAAACGGCTCGGCAATGCTATGCCGAGAGTCTGAAGGTCTCCTCGTCCAGCAAGCAAAGCAAGGAGGATCCCCCCACCGGAGCTTCTTAAGTTTCATTTCTTTTTTCAGTATTGAACAAAGTTGTGCACTCTCTTCCCGTCCTAGTCTTTGACTGTGAGGGTTTTTAACGAGGCACATAGGCATAATAAATAAAATTACTCATTTTGCTCAATCCATACTCTTATCTTTCTGCTTATATAAAGGACGAAAACGAACCTTAAACGTGTAAATGCAAATTCTGAGGTCGAATACGAACCTCAACGCTCTCGCTAACAGACGGCCCCAGGTCAGAACACAAAAAAACACAATAAGTAACGTTACAAAAGCAACAATAACAGGGTTCTCACCACCTCGGCAGCCTGGGCGACCTGCTCAGTGGCCGGAATCGCCACCTTGGCAGCTTGAATCACCTCCTCAAAAGCCACCTGAGGGGCCTCCTTGGGCGGTGGACTCTTAGTAAGGTCCACCGCACTCGCATCAGCGGCCGTGGAGGTCACCTCCTCGGCATCCTCAGGGGCAGAGGTCCCCCCGACCTCCTTCGCTCCCCTTTTCCTCTTTCGGCTGACCTTTAGAGGGGGAGCATCCTCCTCTTGAGGCTCGGGGACCTCGAGATCTGTGACATTGTAGCGATGTTTAAGCTCACGCCACAGATTCTTCCCCATGATACCTACAAACAAGAAGCAAAACACATCAGCAAAAGAAAGCTACACAAACCCCAAGCCACCGAAAAGCAAAATACTCACTCTCCAAACCCCTCTCCCTGTATGCCGAGTTCGCAAGCGACAGAACGAGCTTGCAATCCAGCGGGCGAGGAAGTGCAGCGAGGTTGTCGATAGCGGCCACCTCCGAGGCCGTTAGTTTCACCTGGCCTACCCCATGAAACCTAGACGGTTTGGGGCACCAGTAGAAAGGGAATTTCGGCA